GTGCGAGACGTCAGCTGTGCCTGGCCACCTGACATGCGCATGCATCTATATGGCATGTCGGACGAGGCGGCAGAGGAGGAGTATCAGCGCCTCTACAGCCAGTTTCAGCACAGGCGCACACGTCGGCGAGAGCAGCAGCCCAATGCCGTAGACAGTGGGCGCCGCATCTTACCGCGCACTTCACCCACTCCTGCACCTGGAGCGCGCACCGTTGGTCCCAACATGGATCCGGAGGCACAGCGCATCGTCAGCCCCGACGTGGCGACATGGATATCAGCGATAGCGAGTCTGGTGAGGGAGTCCATATGGTTCGAAGCGGAGGGGGTGGGAATGTGCGCCTGTTTCTCTCCAGTGAGAGTCCGGAGTGGTTCACCCCACTGAGTATCATAAAGCTGGTGCGCGAGGTGTTCACTCCTGGCAGGATCGACCTGGACCCATGCTCGTCCGCGGCTGCTAACACACGTGTTGGGGCGACAGTGTATTACGATATGGAATCCGATGGTCTGTTGGAGTGCAACGCGTGGATGGGCAATGTGTTTGTCAACCCGCCTTTTGGGGTGCAGGGTGGTGCAAGCTATCAGAGCCTGTTTTTCCAGAGATGCGCAACAGAGTACACGGCTGGTCACATTCACCAAGCAGTACTGCTGCTGAAAGCCGCTGTGGGTTATGCGTGGTTTGATGCCATACTACAATGGCCTGTCTGTTTTCTGCGCCAACGTTTGGCGGGTAGCCAATCCACACGGAAGTGTCGTGGTTTACATGGGCCCAGACGTGCAACGTTTTGTGTCAGTGTTTGGTTGTATGGGCGGAGTACCGGGGGCGACTTCATGGGCCATGCCCCGCCCAACGGAGAGCTCGATGGATTAAGGCATAGATTGCATATGGCGAACATATTCTTCTCGGCAGACATCTGCATTTTCATTTGTTTTCAATGTAGCTCGTGGTACTGAGTTTAGCGGTTTATCAGAGATTTGTCATTGTTTCCACCCGAACCTATTCATGCATACGAGTGTTGTGGGATAAACTGGACGGACTGTCGATAAAGTGTGGTGGGAAAACAGTGGGACCTCGGCAGCTGACTTGACTGGGTAATGCAGTCGTGGCCCTGAGTGCTTGCCTCCGGTAGTAGTAGTAGTGCCAGAGTACGGTAACCAGGTGTGCAAGGTTTTCCACTCCATGTCGTGGGATCGAATCTAATACACACATGAGGCACTTGTAAGCGGTCCTCTTGCAAAGTTTTTCTGTAAATTCCTTAAAAGTCATGTGCTTTTGGATGCCAGCCCCGGCCAATCCTGCCAACTTGACAGCCAATTCGACACCCTGTCAGGCTAATTCGATACCCTGTCAGGCCAATTTGACACCCCGAACAGGTCAAT